CAGGCTAATGGAAAAAAAATAAGACAAAAATGGATTCTAAGAAACAGAATCAGGACAGATACCACCCTATTTTTTTCAAAAGGGGCCAGCTAAGACCTAGTAGGTCTGGTACCAAACAGGAGCTACAAAGCTCAGGCAAACAAGCCTAATGCTGATACAGCTCAGTGGTCCGTAGGCTCGGCAGTGTGTTAGGCAGAGAGAGATGCAGGGATACTTGCCCTAGATCTGCATGCAGGCAAATCAGGTCCAGCACAATTATTACTCTACACCACATGAAAGCAGCTACAGTGCTTCCTGACCCACTGATGGAGGAAGCAATACAGCTACACCCATGGCCCTGGGCCTCAGCTGTCCCATGTAGAGCTACTACATGTGTCTACACTGGCTTTACAATCCACCTACAATGCCAATAAAAGACCCACAGATACCTGAGAGCTGTTTGCGTTCAGCAAAAACTTTCCAGGAACTCCGTAATGCAGTAACTAAATGAATACCCCATCCTGGCTGTTTCCATTAAGAACAAATTACTTTTAAGAATGGTTACTTTTCTGAAATTAATAAAATGTGAATTATTTCAGGACGAAAAATACATAATATAGAGTGTAACACTTCTGAAAAGAAAATAACAAGCAATATGCGATAAAGAAAAAAAATCCTCTGTTAAAATCTCTTCAAATAATTAAAAAATATTATGGAATACATTTCAATAGACTAAGGTACCCAATGCATTCCTGAAACGTTCACTGAGTCTACCAGTGGTCCTGGGAATTAGGTGTTGTTATAAACACCCCCATTTACAAAGAAGGAAATAGAAGCACACAAAGATTAAACACCTGATACAAAGCCATTGCAGTCACTGGAAAACAATTTAGAAGGCATTGGATGGGAGCCTAAGTGATTGTTCAAGGTTGTAAGGAAGTCCATGGCACAGCTTTCAGTACAGATCTTTTGTTCCCAGGCTATTGCAATATTCACTTCTTTTCTATTCAAGTAGAATTGGCTGTGATTAACATACGGTGTTTAATGACCTCAAGAGACCTCTGCATCAGTCCCATCTCTTTTGACAACATTTACAGGGGCTCAGTCCTGTGGAATACACGCAACAACTTTAACCTTCAGTTTAGCGTAAGGTGCTAAAAATCTGCTATGTCCCATCTTGTTTTCCATAGTAGATTCCTACCAATGTTATCTTTAATGTAGGGTATTTGTCAAGGTCAAAAGGCAACAGGGAGCATCTATTCAGGAACTGTAAGCATGTCTCGGGCTTCAGAACACTATTTTCATTGTAGAACTTAGTACAGTATTATTTGGTAACACTGCTAATACTGAGCAGAAAAAAAAAACAAATCCATCAAAAATCTGTACAGCAAGTCAAGACCAGGCCATGTTTATTTAATGGGATTTCTAGGAGAGCTGCTACTGCCTACTGAGGTCTACAGACTCCTTCTGGGAAAGCAGATCCATGGTACTCCACAGAAACCCACTGATGCACCCATCAGTTCAGCAAGGCTGCTGCCCACCAGCTGAGGAGGAGGCAGAGCTCCTCTGGCTCCTGGCACCACCAGGAGATGTCCAACGTTGCCTTCTGGTGCACGAGCAGGCAGTTGCTTCTGATTTCATGAAAAGCAGGGAATCTAATTAATAAGGTAAAAATTTCTCTATCCCTATATACATATAGAATTAATGCCATCAGTACAGACTATAAGAAAAACTAAGACAGAAAAATTACTATGGAAATATTAAGTTACAAGAAAGACTGTTTCTAATGGTATGCAAAACAGTCTATATATTTGGGAAAAGACAAACACTCATTGCCAGGAAAAGTTTTAGAATTGCCCTCTTTCTCTCTTTCTTCATGAAAAAGAATATATGGATTTATTTAACCTGGTCAGATAACTTTAACAATCACCTCATCACATCTACTCCCTTTCAGACTGTGTTTTAGCAGTGTATTATTTGCATCAAGCATGGAGAATTTTGAACCTGAAAAAGCCTTCTTTCCCTTTAATATCACACTCCCTCGAGAGTATACCATTATTTAAAATTCAATATATATTTCTTTAAAAGCACCCTCACAATCTGACAGGTAAAACCTCCAGAAAATAATTCTTCAGTGACAATATTCCCAAAAGGAATCCAGCTTCAACTAAAATTTGAATAATGTGAGCAGGAAGGAGCTGGAAATGTACATTAATGAATAATTGTTCAATTTGTGTGACAGGGATCATCCTCCACTAGAAATGACAGTTGCGCTGGTACAATAAAACCGCAGAGCAGCCTGTGAAATAGTGGTCCTCTCTGGCCAAGGTCAGCATGCAGGACACATTTTTAACTCGAACCTAGAAAGTCTTCAATCCATTTTCCTACCCAGCATCCTTCATGTAAACACATCGATATGACCTCTCTGTTCTGCCTTTTTGATTCAGAGCCTTTGTACAAGTCATCACGAACCATGAAAACTGGCCTGATTTGCAGTGATAATGAGGAAAACCCCAATTCCCACTGAAATCAAGATGAAAGTGCCTTGATATTTAGGGGACAGCCAAACTGCTTAGCACAAGAGTAGGCTGGAAGACAAGAATTCCTATTTGCAAAAATATTCAAAGGTTTTCTCCCATATGAGTCAACTGCTTAGAAGATCACATTCAGTCCCGGGCTCTAGCCAACTTGGTGTCAGTGTCACTTGGCTACACTCACTCAAGCTGACCAAATAAATGCATCTTCAAGGGAATCCCCACTCCAGAACTGCCAATTTCTGGTTGGTGAGGGCAGTCAACAACAGGGGAGGGAATCAAGTTTCTGCCCTGAGCCATGCAGAGAAATTACTGAGATTTTTTTGTACCAGTTCCAGATGTCTGAATTTAAAAAGCTGGGCTTGAGACAGCTTTTAGGGACTTTGGGCTTTGTGCTCCTTTACAATATTTTCATTGGACACTTATTTGACAGAATATGTTTTTAAAATCTAGTATGTAGAGAAGGAAAGTACTTATAGAAGAAAGTTTTGTCTTTGACATCAATGAGAATAAATCCTATTTCTGGCAGAGTAATAGTTCTCCACAGTGTAAGTATCAGGTTTGAGGATTCATCATGCTAGGGACAATGAAAGAATTTAACCCAACTTGTCTGTCCAGGCCAGCTCCTGCAGACTTGCTAAACTGTGAGGGGTCACGAGCCTCCAGACCTCTCACTGACACCTTTTTCCTGTATTTTGGCCTCTCACTGTGGCACAAATAACCATGGTTTACTTCTAGCTGCTCTAAATAAGCAACATTTAGAGCACAGCTGTTATCAGTACAGAGGGTAGGATAACATCCAATAGTCAGGTGAAAGAGGAGACATACAGGAAGCAAAACTCTTAAAAGGCATATTCTGAAAAATGAATAAATAATGTGAGACTACAGAGCTCTGGCAATCATGCAGTAGCAAGCTAAAATCAGGTGACTGAAGCTACCACGTTTCTACCCATCCCCTTTATCCATCTGATAGCTGATCCTGACACAGCACAAGGGCAGCTGATCTGCCAGTCAATCAGCTCCACAGCATGCCTGCTGCCAAAATTGTGCCAAACCTCTAAATGTAAGAGGAGACCAAAAAAATAATACAGCCATTTGCCCAGGTAATACAGCAAGCTAGAGTCAGCAAGCTAGTGCATAAGAACCACAATATGCCAAGCACCCCAAGTCGAGTGCCTTCATTTATCTACCCACGCTGACTTTCTCAGATGAGAAGCCCACATCTAAAAGGCTCGTCAACCCCGAAAAGAAAGCTGGCTCACTTGCACGGTGGTTTGGGCATAAACAGTGTCATGATAAACCAACCGCTTACAAACCAGTCAGCAACTAAGTTGCAAACAGCTGTATGCGCACACTTACAGATTACACATGTCAATCCTGGGAGGAGACAACGGCAGTAGCTGAAGTAGGAGCTTTACCCCATTCTTCCACCCTTCCTCTTTCTCAAATTCACAGAAAAGGTAGGTACATTCATCCGCTGAGAACTGGTAGAAAGCATGAGCATCTTGAAAATAGAGTTGTCTGTCCACTGTTAGAAAAAACAACATTAGATAGCTTTTAAACCTTTACCATGTAAAGGTTCTGCCCCCACCACATTCTGTATTGCACTTGACTTTAGTGCTGAGTTGGACCAGCACACAGGGCAAAAGGATCGCAAACTCAGCATACAAGCAATCCTGCCCTCTCGTGCTTCAAAACAGGACAACCCCAAAACATCAGATGGAAGATCTCCAGGCTCCTGAAATTCAAGCATTAAGACTGCTGATTATTTAATCAATTTTGGAATCAGTTCAGAATTAGGGGATAAAAACCTCTGCTTGCCTGGTTTCTGAGCCTAGATTTCCATTGGCTTCTAATCTGTTCTCACTAACGGCCAGGCACTAGTAAACAAAGTTCAATAATGAGGATGCAGCCCACCATTATCCCAACTTCTCCTCAAATTCAGGGCCACTGGATTTGTAGACTAGCCCTGGGTGAGATGATGAGCCACAATACAGCTGTCATCTTCCCTGGCATAACTGGGACTGAACTGGGATCAAAGGACGGGGTCCAAAGCCAAAAGCACAAGCTCCTGCTGGGAGAGGCATTCAGCCCTTGTTGAGGCTGCATGATCAGACATACTGCCAGTGTAGTTGGAGCAGAAGAAAACCTTGAAGTATACTGTCAGCATACACAAGTAGAAATCTTCCGTAACACCTCACCTTTTCGCAAGGAGGAAAGTTAAGTGTTTAGCACCGACCTCAGGGTGGGATATGCTCTGAGTTGAGCTACCTAAGTATCCCAGCTACAAAGCAAAGTCCATCAGATTTCCAGAGATTGTTACCAGTGCAATTATTGCCAACCACATTAGCTGGACCAAACCCCTAAATTTGGTGAGGAAGATGGGGACAGTGGGGTAGAACCTGGCATCACAACCTTCTCCAGGATCTGAATCCCGTCTCAACCCATTGTAATCTAAAACTATGAAAAGCAGAGAGAGGAAGGGAAAATCACTAATAGCTAGAGAAGTCATCTGGCAAAGCTATGATCTGCAGTGACTAAACAGCTGCTGTCTTGTGAAAAACCTAAGAGTGCTTGAGGAGAAAAAAAAATAGGCTGGAAAAGACACGCACGCTCTCTGCAACTTGATAATAGGCAATTACATTTGCAAAAGCAAAAGGAAGGAAATCGCCTAAAAAAAGAAGAGATTCATCTTTGGTATTTATGAAATGAAAGGTCACAGAGGTGAGCCTACCGAAGAGATAGTGAAGCAAAAAACTGTCAAGAAAAATGGATCGATCTGCATTTTTTTTTCTTTCCCTCCTTCCTCTCCCATCAAAAATGTGAGTCTTATCCTATGCAGGAGAAACTGATAGCCTTCCTCACACCAGAAGTACTATCAAGACTGACCCGATAATATAATGCCCATATCCAGGAGGAGCTGCCACACTCCAACTGCTGTAGATCTGCACTTAACAAAAGGGCACTGCTCCAGAAGCCAGTCTACCAGTTCCGATCCAACACAGCTTCTCCTGAAAATAAGCAAAACATCACTTCTTACATTACAGTAATGTTAAAATGCTCTTTTATTATAAAGAGCTCT